CCTGCTCACGGGGCCCCGCGGGCAGTTTCCCGGTTCCACATGTTAGGGTTTACCCTCTACTCGGACCTCTTGATCACCACCCCCTGACCCCATCGGTCTGTTCCTGATTCTAGCCTCAGTCTTCCCAAGGCAGCAAAAAGTCTCACACATAAAACCTGAATATGTGAAAATGTCAAAACCGGTGAGTTACACAGTCACTGTCATCGGCGTTGTGGCGGAGCCTGTGATATTTTATCATTTACGCGTTTTCAATAGAAACTTGGTCATTTTAGCTTACGGCTGAGTCTCCATATAAGGCTGTATTGAACACAAGAATGAGTAATCGTCTTTTATCTTCACGACAGGCAGTGGCTAAAGATCAATTCCTGAAACAGTGAGTCATCCAGTTATCCTAAGGACCAAGGGGACCGTGTGTCGGCCTCCTAAAGCTTGGGCACGCACGGGGGCTCACAGAATGGACCCTAGGAAGCTGAAGACCAGGCCTCAGGCACACAGTGGTCTCCCAAGTGCAGCTAGTGAGTGAGGACCTCCCTGGCCGCTCCCTCTTTGACTTCTCTTTGGCCTAGCGAGTACCAGTCAAGGACCCTCTCACTAAATAACAGGGCCTTTTCCCCTACTGTAGTTTGGCTGAGTAGATCTCTTACCTAGAGGACACGCTGACACTTATTCTCAGTTTCTGATCACCTGCAGCTGCGGTTGTTGATCATCATCTATTGAGTCATCTCTAAGTATTACCCTTGGGGTGTACTCATTTCTATTTGTGTCTATTATCCCTGATCTTTGAGAAAATCCCGTGGGGTGAGCACTAGTTTTCTGTTTTACAGACGATAACATGCAAGTTCAGAAAGGTTAAGTACTTTGTCTAAGGCCACAAAGAAGGGGCAAGACTGGCACCCAAATGCACATGTGTCTAGCTCCAAAGCCTTTTCTTTTCCTAATTTCTATTCTGGGTACATCCTCCCAACTTTTCAGAGAATGAACATTAGTAGCCACCTATACAAGTCAAAATCAAATAAAGAGTAATACCTTATGGCAATCTGAACAGGGGAAGTTTAAGTTTAAGGAATCATTAACTCTGATACTGGAATAAAGAGGAATTGTCTAGTAAAACGTAAAGAAGAACTCTGACTGATAAGATAAGCAATGCATTTTTTCATAAATGGGCAAAGGATTTGAGTCGATATCTCAGTAGAGAAGATTTAGGAATGGCTAGACAACACATGGAAAGGTAACCTCATCCGTGCCTCATTGGAAGGCGACAGTTACTAGCCACTCTAGTCATTGCAATGTGGAAATGTAGTCTTAGAGTTGCCAAATCTTCCATTTTTTTTTTCAAAAGCCTAGATATTCCGATTTTTATATAAAAATCTCCCTTCTTCAATATTGGAAATTGCTCAAAATAGGTCCAGTAGCGCAGGACTGGCGTAGCTTGTTTGTGACTCCACCATAGGAGAGTCTCTGTCTGGGGAGGGCATAGCAAAACCAGGGTTTCAGGGAATCCGTGGCAGCAGCGTGTGCAGTCCAGACCTGAAGGAGACGGGGAGAAGGTGGGATACCCAGCAGCGAGACCAGCTATGGAGAGGAAGGGCCTCGGGTGACGCAGGGAGCAGCACGTGCCTCACACGCTCCTCGCACCGCAGTTGATGGCATCTCTGTGGCCTCAGAGGGGCCCAGGACAGGCTGAGCTGCTCCATGTCCGAGTCCCTCCTCCAGGGACTTCTGCCGTCCTCCCCAGCCCTGATCCCCCTCTCGAGGTGCCTGAAGCATCAGCACGTTACTTTAGGCCCAGGAAAGGCACTGGAGCTCGGGGGTCCACTGGGAGATCTGGACAGCTGGCTCGTCCTCCTGGAGGAACAGGGGGGGACGTTCGCAAAGCGCCCTCCAACCCGCCTTCTCAGAGGGCGGAAGAGCCTGAGCCCGGGAGTCCTGGAAACCCTCTGGGGTGCTGGGGCGCGGTTGGTTGGACACTCTGCTTGCTCGACTTCTCCTTTCTTGCATAGCCTTTCTCCTCCTAAGCTGCACGACTCAGAGTTCTACTCTTTCCTCCCGAGTGCTCTGAGTTCTCACAGCTCCTCCATGATCAGCCCACTCCTTCAGGTACCCAGGTCTGCAGTGCACCGTCCACAGCTGTGCTCAGGAAGGCAGGCGGCAGCCCTCTGCCTCCGCCCTCTGGACCAGGCCGGGAAGGGAGAGGTGGGTGTGGAGCACAGTGAGGCGGCAGGGGACCCTCCCTCTCCTCTCTCTCCTTTCCCAGCTTCCGAGGAAACTCTACCATTTTTCTTGAACCAACCCACCAAGCCCAGGAGCTCCGGGTCAATCTGGTACTGGGCGAGTCACAGAAGCAGGACTTCCTGTGCCCCCGACCAGCAGCAAGCACCCTCTGAGTCAGAGGCACCTTTGCTGGTAGGCAGATTTTCATGTCCTCCCTGAATTGGGCACTCAGAGGGACTTCACAAACCATACCATTTTTTTTTAAAGGTGTTTTCATCACAAAAACCCAGAGGGAAAGGTGAAAGGCTTCCTTTGGTACCAAGAAGAATCTAACATATGAACAAACGTGGACCACTTTAACTAAGCCACCTTGCCTGGCCCCGGTGCACAGGGAAGGGGCCGTCCAGATCTCTGAGGGCCGCGTGAGCGGGTGACCCTGTGACCAGCTCTGCGGGCTCACCTGGGCATCTGCTCCCAGCACAGAGTGCAGGCCTTACTCTGCTCTCCCCTCTGAGACGTGTTGAAGCAGATTCAGCTGCTTACACTGGCAGCACTGGTGATCTTTGTGCTCCTGTTGCCCAAGGTCTAGGCGGTGGAGCTGCCTTGGGATTGCATGAGCTTGTTACTTCAGCCCTCTGCTTTGCCACAGGTGCCTTGCTCCCCAGAGCTTCTGCCAGACATCCAAAAAGGAAGGCTGGTGCTGGATTTAATTTGTTTTTATGTCCTGAGGGTCAACAAAGTATGATGGGCGAATCGTGGTGCTAAAGTCAGACCCAACTGGGTTGAAATATGAGTCTCTCCCCTTCCTGGTTTTGGGAATTTGTAGAAGTATTTTTTAAAAATCTGTGTATCGGTTTCCTCATCTTTAAGGATGAGGAAATATTAGTACCTATCTCAACCTATTTTGTTTAACAAATTGTACACTATTAAGATCTTTAATAGCATGGAGAATTTATGAAATATTAAGTAAAAAAAGAAGCAGGCCACGGAAGAGCGTTATAGACTGTTACACTGTGTGAGATGAAGTAACGTGTCCTGTGGATCCATTTCTACCACACACACACACACACAGACACCACGCTGGAGACAGGTGGCCCAACTGGCCCATGGACCCCCTCCTCTTCTGCTGGTGCTCTTCAGGGCCACCCGGGATCTCCGTGGCTCCTTGGGGAGGGAGCTCTGCACTCCCCTGCGTGCTCGCCCTCTCCCGCCCTTGTTTTCTAAGAGCTCGCATCCCAACCCGACAGCACTGACGGGAAGGTTTGCTTTACAAACCTTCCAGGTTTTAGACACATTCAGCCAAAGGCAATGTAAGACACAAGAGATGCAGCCCTGTCACCAATGAGTATCTAACCAGTAATTATTTCTTCTCTAAAATGAGAGGGTAAAAGCACTGAAGTGGTCACCCTGTTGCCCTTGTGAATTCTATTGATGATGAAAACTGGTTCAACCTCTTGGGAGAACTGTCTGTCGAGAGCTGGTGGAACAATATGCCATTTAACCCAGTAATTCTATACCCCGTAATGTAGCCTAAGAAGATAATTTAGAATACATAAAAACATGCAGGCCAAAGATATTTGCTGTGATATTTATGCTAGTGAGAAATGAGGGGCAGAGCCAGGAAACATGACAGTTACCCAAGCATCAGTAAGTGCTGATGTGGTCCAGGTTGTGACCATCATTTAAGATCATGGCAATGTTTCCAAAGATGGCTGCCAACACTGTGACTTCTTTTCTTTCTACTTAAATATACACTTCATTTTATATGCAGGGAGAATACTTTTGAATTTGGGGGAAAAACAAGCTTTATTATTTTGAAAAGAGTTTGGATTAGGCGATTTCTAAGTTCCCGGCCACAGGCTGGTTCTTTGAAAGTAGCACTGAGTTGGAGCTTGGTGCTCCATGTTTACCCGGGATCTCGACCTCCAGAAGGAGCAGGATGGGGTTAGCAGAGGCAGAGGCTAAACCGCAGTGCAGACCTAAGGGAGCCTCAGCCAAGCATGGCCTTCAAGCGTGTCCCACACTGGGGCAGAGTGGCCTGGCCACACCTCACTCAGCTGTAAGCAAAAGAAATGACCCCGGGTGAGGGGACACTCTGTGCGGGCACTGTCCTCACAGCTGAGGCAAGTCCCCCCTGGCCAGGAGCTGGTGATGCCTTTCCACATCCATCGTCCCTCCTAGGTCCACGTTCTTGTGCTCCAATTTGGCCTGCCCACGCGGGTTCCCGCCCCGCCCTGCCCACGCGGGTTCCCGCCGCCCCGCCCAGACCTGCCCACGCGGGTTCCCGCCCCGCCCCGCCCAGACCTGCCCACGCGGGTTCCCGCCCCGCCCCGCCCAGACCTGCCCACGCGGGTTCCCGCCCCGCCCAGACCTGCCCACGCGGGTTCGCTGCCCCGCCCAGACCTGCCCACGCGGGTTCCCGCCCCGCCCAGACCTGCCCACGCGGGTTCGCGCCCCGCCCAGACCTGCCCACGCGGGTTCCCGCCCCGCCCAGGCCTGCCCACGCGGGTTCCCGCCCCAACCCCGAGCCCAGACCTGCCCACGCGGGTTCCCGCCCCGCCCCCGAGCCCAGACCTGCCCACGCGGGTTCCCGCCCCGCCCCCGAGCCCAGACCTGCCCACGCGGGCTCCCGCCCCGCCCCCGAGCCCAGACCTGCCCACGCGGGTTCCCGCCCCGCCCCGCCCGGCGGAGTCCCGGCGCGCGGCCTTGTGGGAGTTGTAGTTCCCGCGGGCGGAGGGCGCCCGCCGAGCGCCGCCTGGGGACTCCACTTCCCGCGCTCCTCCGCGGGGCCCGGCAGAGACGGCCCCGGACGGGGGAGGGCTGGGAGCTGTGGCCGGTGGAACCGGCCGTCTGTGGGGCGTCCGCCGTTCTTGCCGGGGCCTGTCCTTCAGGAGGGCAGGGACCGGACTGGAAAGCGGGCTTGAGGACTCGAGGGCGAGGGCGAGGCGCGGCCCGTCGGGTGGGCCGGAGTGTTCACCGCGGTCCCCGCGCTCTCGGGGCGGCCCCATGGCGGCCCGCGCCCTGGGCGCGCGGCTGTGGGCCCCGGCGGGCGCGCTGGCCGCGCTGGCCTGCTGTTTGCGCGCGCGGCGGGCGGCCCCGGGCGAGCTGCGCCCCGAGGCGCGCGGCCACCTGGAGCTGAAGCAGGTGCAGGTGGTGTTCCGGCACGGCGCGCGGAGCCCGCTGCGGCCGCTGCCCTGCGCGGGCCAGGTGAGCGGCTCCCGGCGGCCCCCCGCCCCCCGCCCCGCGCTCCCGGCTCCCGGCTCCCGGCGGCCCCCCGCCCCGCGCTCCCCGCCCCGCGCTCCCGGCCCCCCGCCCCCCGCCCCGCGCCCCCCGCCCCGCGCTCCCCGCCCCGCGCTCCCCGCCCCCGGCTCCCGGCCCCGCGCTCCCCGCCCCCCGGCTCCCCGCTCCCCGCTCCCCGCTCCCGGCCCCGCGCTCCCCGCCCCGCGCTCCCCGCGCCCCCGGCTCCCCGCCCCCCGGCCCCGCGTCCCCCGCCCCCCGCCGGCCCTTCCGGCCGTGCGCGCCCCAGACTCCAGGGTCGCCCCCAGCTGCGGCGCCGCTGCTCCTCCGGAGGAGCCCGGGACTCGCCTGGGGGCCCTTTGGCCAGCGGTCAGCGGAGCGCCAGGGCCGCAAAGTGGCCTGTCTCGAGCCGGGACGGCCGCCTCGGTGCTGTCGGGGACCGTCGCGCTGTGTCAGGGACCTTCCTAACGGGACCTCAGGGGCTGCCTTGGGAGAGGTTCCAGGACCCCTCTTCAGGGTTAGCTGGAGGCGGTTGGAGGTCGCAGGAAGACGTGGTGACAGTCGCTGTGTCCCGGTTCTCTGGTTTCAGGCTTCTAGACCTGTAGTTAGTGGAAGGGCTTGTGGTCGCTTTGGGGGTATGATGCTTTGAACTCTGCAGGGTTAACGATGACTAATTAGCCTCAGAGCACACATAGTTCCATGTTTTTTATGGTTAGCCTCCCTGTACGCAGGTCCCCAAGTCCCACTGGAATGCCTACTGTGAGATGCTTAAGTTGAAGTTGGAGCAAATCAAACAGGTTGTCCATCTTCATGGTCATAGTTGCTTTCTAGAGAAAACCGAGAGAGTTGAACTCTTCACACTGTACACTAAAACCCAGTTTTCAAAGCAGGCCTCACTTAAAGCAGATCTCTAAGGTACTTCTCAAATATATTTTAGCAGGCGCTTAACATATGTGGGTTTCTAGTTAGCCTTTCTGTGGCTACACTACTTTCTGTCTGGTACTGGAATTTCTTATTTTTTGATGCTTTGGTCTTTATTCAGTCCCTTACCTGGCTTTTTTCCATCAGATCATCAAAGTTCCTTATCATTTTGTAAACACATGACCCATCTCTTGGGCAACCTCTACCCCCACTTTTCCCCATTTATTCTTGTTACAGAGGGCTGGGAAGTAATTGATAGGAATACACACACACACACACACACTTTCTTTTTTTTTTTTTTTTTTCATGTTAAAGACAGGTTATCAGTGGTAGCAAAGAATAAAGCTTGACTGTCTAGACCTGGGCCTCGTATGTACAGTGCATGTATTCCCCGAAGCCCTGTAGAAAGATTTAGTTTCTTTTAGAGATTTCTCCTGAGCCAGTGTGTGATGGGTGTCATGCCTTTCTGGAAGAGGGGGTCCTTATGGCTTAGCACACCAGCTTCATCCATCATCTCTCTCTAACTACAAAATGTGGAACATCACAGTCCATGGTCTCATTTTGCAATAAGAGAAGACACAGTACCTCTCCTACCAGATCATACCTGCAGACTGTAGGTAGATGCTTTAAAACTGTTTGGTTATCTAGAATAAAATATGTGCATAAAAGCCAGGGGTGGAAACAACCCTCTTTCAAATTAGTCCACAAGTGAATGTCATCAGCCCTCTATAACTTGTTTCTGGAAGACCTTGCTCAGGTTTTCTTTTCAATATCCCATTTAATAGACAGGTTATTGGGATTTTCTATCTTTCTGGTTCTGATATTAATTATATTCGGGTGGGACATGTAGCAGCCATTCAAAAACTAAAATTTCTTTTGGTACATGTTTACTGATTTCTGATTGGTTTATAGATAAACACACATGACAAGTCATTTCAGTCATTTTACAAATCCTTAGAAAGTAGTCTTGTTTAAAATATGAGTGGTTTTTTTATGGCTTAAATAACTTTGTTTAGCTTATCTTGATAAAAGTATGTGCCTTGGAAATAAAATTATGGACCATAATTAGCTGTTTTCCTGATCATTACAGTAGATCCAAGTAGACTTTCAAAAGAATAGATTTGACTCTCATTCTAGGTTTCCCTAGTTCCCCTGCAGACAGTCGCAGGATGACCACCAGGCAGGTTCTTCTGATTTTATAAAAGACAGTTCACCCTACCCTAGCTTCATTGTTAAGGTATTTGGGGTTTTATTTGACAAGATAGATCAGCTGGGAAGCATAATGTCTTGTTACTTAATACCTAGCCAGAGCTCAGCTGAGAAAGGTGGCGTTCAGGACGCAGCACCTGAAGAGTGTGCCAGGCCAGTACCTCCATCTTTCTATAGTGATGCTTCTTTACCTTAGTAGGATATCGAACTCAAGTGGGGATATTTTAAAAATACTGATGCCTGGGTTTTCCTCCCAGAATCCTGGTTTAATTGGCCCACGTGTCCAGACGTTATAAGATCTTCTCTGGTGAGACTTTAGAATTGTCTGGACTCTACGTCATTGACCCAGGGAGGTTCAGAATAGGGCTCAGGCATCAGTGACTTCTTAGAAAATGTCCTGCTGATGCCAGTGTATGACCCAGGTTTAAAACTATTGTTTTATCTAAAAAATCTTCACCTGGAAGTTTTTTGTTTGCAAATTTTTTTCTCTTATTTGGAATCTAGCGTATCCCTCCCAGTATAGAATCGGCTTCACTGAAATGTGCTTTGGTGAGATGTTATCACTCTGTGTTGAGGGAATCGGGAGAAACCATCCCACAGAACTCATTGCTGTGACTACTGAAAAGGTGTTCATTATATTACTCTCTCCTCTTTATGAGGACCCTTGGGAGGAATTTGTCTGTTAGCATTAGATATGGTGTACTTCTCCTGAACAGTTTGCTTGCTTTTATCTTTAAACTTGTCTAGCTGATCAAATGTCTCCTTTTATATAAAAGCCAGAAAGCTTAGTGCCAAACTTGCGGTCCACCTATGAGAGCTGTATGGATTTTTGATAGATGCATTTTTAGTAACCGACTACTGCATCTGTTTTTGCCCCTATGCTTATTTGGTTCTGTCTCTTACCTACTTTGACTTGGTTGTCTTACTAGATTCTAGGTATTGCTGTCATCTGTTTCTTTTTGGAAATGGGGTATAATGGAGTATAAATATAAGGAGGATTATCAAGTCAGTTTTTATCATTAAGTTAAGAAGAGGAAAGAGGATGGGAGTGGGCTCTAGACTTGATGTGACGTGCACTGCAGGACTTGTCTCTTGGGAACCACAAAGGCCGCTAAGCAGAGAGCTCTCTCAGTGAAGCTGAATGGCCCTGTGGACTTAGGTCTCTGACCTGGGGAAGGGTGGCTCATGTCAGTTTTCAGTGTAGTGATGGAGAGAGAGAACACTTCAATGACGGGGATGTGCAGGAGCACTGGGAGCACAGAGGACTTCACTCAAACTTAAGTGAGCGCAGGTTCCCCGCTTTCTTCTGCCCTAGTGGTAGTCAGGGAGCACCTCCTCTACCCTTTCCACATTAGGTACACAGGCTCAGAGTCAGAGTAGTACTTTTCCTTTCTTTTTCCCTAGTCACTGCCAACCCAGCCACAAAATAAAACTTTCACCTACTGATTCAGATGTCTCACATTTACCGCCTCTGTTCTTGCTGCCTTAGGTGAGATCTTGGATCCCTTTATTGTTTGGACTGAGGTATCTCCTGAAATCTCATGGGTGAGACAAGGCAGGAATATTCAGAGGTAAAATGATTGTATTATGAGCATGGTGACATGATCAGTGCATCAGTCCGTTGCATGGATTGGCGATTCGGGGTGGGGGGCTGCTGTGCTGGGTGCTGACCGGCAAGTGAGGCAGTAGGTCACTAGCAGCATGCTTTGGGGTTTGCATTCTGTCTCTGGTGCCTTGTCTTTGCTTCTTGGCTGCCAGCACTGAGCAGCTTTGCTCCACCACACCCTTCCACCCCGCTGGTCTGCCTCACGTTGGGCCAGAGGAATGGAGCCAACCGATCATGGACTGAACCTCTGCACCTGTGAGTCCCAAATAAACCTTTCCTTCTCTAAATCGTTCTTTTTAGGCCTTTTGGTGATAGCAGTGAAGAGGTGACCAACAGTACTCATGGAGACTATGGCAGACATCATAAACTTGACTTTCCTGCATCTGGTCTTCCCAGTCCAATAGTGATTATACCCGTGACTTTTGAACTACTCTGGAGCTGTGGGCCGGGGGCTGGCTGCCTGGGGCTCCGGGTTCTTATTCCTCCTGCAGCTGGAGAAACTCCAGTTTTTGCATTTACATGTACAAATTGAATATTCAGCTTTACTTGGCATTTGCTAATTAAAAGGCTTGGAAACCATTCCCAGTTTGAGACAAACTAGACTACTTCTTTGCATATACATTCTTTAGTATCTCTACTTTGCTCCAATTTTCTAGCTATTTTGGGGATTCTGAATGCCACCATTTCTTCTTACCTGCTTCTTACTCCCAAGTCCCAGTTGTTGCTTGTCTGAATTCTGTTCATTTCACATATGATCCGTTCTGTGAAATATTCCCTGAATCCTCAGCCACAAGAGAATGTCTGTTTTGCCTTGAACTACAATGGACTTCATCTGATTTCTTATAGCACACATTCCCTTTTAGTATGTCATTTAGATTCAGAGTTTGCTTCCTCTATTAATCTGAAAATCAGGGAAAGACAGGGCCAAATTATCTCAAGCTTGATATCTTCCACAGGATCTGGCAGATGGTCAGAGTTATTAATTGCATGTATGGTGTGCTCCGCCCTTCTTAGGATTTCAGAGTATAAAGGTCAATAAATGACCGAGTCTCTGTTCTCAGGAAGCTAAATCTACTGAACAGGACAGACCAGTGAAGGAACTCTCCTAGAACAGTAGGAGCCACCAGTATCGCTATACAAGTTCAGAGCCATGGTCAGGCTTGTTGAGTCTTTCGGAACAAAGGAGTCTTCTCAGATGACAGGAAAGAAAATTCTAGGAACATCACGTTGAAAAACTAGGAGGTATGAAGATGGTGCTGAAGGAAATAGTTGTGGGACTGGAGAGGTAGTGTGTAGGGCAGGGAAGAAGTCCTGGGGGGGGTGCTGAGAAGAGGTTGGGCCATGCTAACCGCAAGCCAGGCTCAGAACTGAGGAGAAGGGGCCATGATTAACTGTGAAAAAAGGAAGGAGGAGGTCACAGCAGGAGCATTCAGAGCGACTTTGTTCTGGCCAGCAGGGCTGCAGGGATAGTGTGTGGCAGGGAGTCACGAGTTGGAGTCCTGGGCCTGGGAGGGTGTGGTAGCGCTGAGGTTGCCAGGTTGTGTGGAGGTGCCCTCCTGGCTGCGAGAGTCACTGACAGCTGGAGCTGGGGATTGTGGCCACTTGGGATGTCTGGGAGCCATTGCAGGACAGCGGGAGCAAGCGCCAGACTGCAGGGAATAAAGGGAGGTGGGGAGCAGCCAAGGCTTCCTGGTGGCAGCTGTTTATTTCAGAAATTGGATAGCAGGAACTAATAACAGGGGGCACTAGCAAGTGTGGTGTGCTACGTGGGGGTCCAGGCGTGGAAACTACAGAGAGGTTCCCAGGAGATCTCCCAGGCATGGTCACTAAGGCCATGCTCATCGTGCACTCGCCAAGCACCTGCCGCCAGGCACTGACCATCTCTCCCCTTCGGCCTGGGCTCAGGGCCAGAGTAGCCGCTGACAGTATTAGTGCAGCACTCAGGACCTGGGCCAAGAACACCTGGAATCCTGAGTCGGTCGGTCGTTTCTCCCTTTTCCTCCCACGGGAAGGTCTGTAGCCTAATGTCGGAGTGATTCTGCCTAATGTTCCATGGGACCACCAGATGTTAATGCTGAGTTTCAAGAAACTTTTAAAAAAACATATCTTGTTTTTTATGATCACAACAGGTAGAGTGGAACCCCCAGCTATTAGAGGTCCCACCCCAAACTCAGTTTGATTACACAGTCACCGATCTAGCTGGTGGCCCGAAACCACATTCTCCTTATGACTCTCAGTACAGCAGGACGACCTTGAAGGTGAGCACTGCATCCTGCTCCGGGCCACTGCGAGTTTCAGTGGGTCTCTCTGGGCTGAGATCAGCCTGGCAGGTGTCTGATTCTCTTTCTTCCCCACTTCAGGGGGGCATGTTGGCTGGGCAGCTGACCAAGGTGGGCATGCAGCAGATGTTTGCCCTGGGAGAGAGGCTGAGGAAGAACTATGTCGAAGACGTCCCCTTCCTTTCGCCAACTTTCAACCCGCAGGAGGTCTTGTGAGTCATCAGAAGAGGATATGTTGCACTGAGTGAGGTCTTGAGTGTGAGGGGTCAGACACCCCAGGGGCTCCTGTTTTCTCCCAGAGAGGTTTGGGGGAGAGTTGTCTGATGCAGTGGTCCTGAGAGCAGTCGTGACTGGAGGTCGCGTTCATTGGCCTGTGAGTCCTCTGGGGACAGCCATCCCACAGAGCGGCGAATCCTCTTCCTGACCTCAGGGCCCTGGGTGTCCGGAGACTGCAGCTGCTTGTGGTGCAGTGTATGACTCAGCCTTCCTCCCGGGGGCGTCTCTGCCTTTCTGTTTTTTCCAGTGTTCGCTCCACCAACATGCATCGGAATCTGGAGTCCACTCGCTGTTTGCTGGCTGGGCTTTTCCAACGTCAGAAAGAAGGTCTGTCTGTGGGGTCTACAAGCCAGCCCCTGGCCCTTGAGGAGCGGCCTCCCAAAGTCCCTCTCGGTGTCCGTTTCCCGATCTCTCTTCTGCACAGGTGGCCTCGGGTGTGCCTGTCCTCAGGGTCGCTGCTGCCTGGCCGTGTGCTGGCCGCTCCAGCCTGACCTGTCAGGAGTGGCCGTGCATCAGTGGCTCTAGTGTGCCTCCTGCTCTGGCCTCTCCTCCCAGGCATCTGTCTGCACAGGCTGCCCAGGGCCGTGCTGTCTGCATCCCGGGGACAGTAGTGACCTGCTAAGAGAGAGGAGGGCAGAAGAGTGCTGATCTGGGCCCTCACCTCAGTGCTGATTCACAGTAGGACCCGAGCATCAGCTGCGTTTCTTAGTTGAGTTTTGACGATAAACCTGTGTATGGCTGCGGTCAGAAATTCCCCAACTTCTTACTGCCAAGGACTGCATTTTTTCCCCTCATGGATCCCATATATCTAGGGTCTTTGGCCATCAAAGGAGGCTGCATTTTTGGCTGGGCCCGGTGGCACAGTCCTGTAATCCCAGTGTCTGGGGGAGGGGCTGAGGCAGGAGGATCACAAGTTCAAAGCCAGCCTCAGCAATTTAGCAAAGCCCTAAGCAACCCAGTGAGACCTGTCTCTAAACGAAATACAGAGTAGGGCTGGGTGGTGGCTCAGTGGTCGAGTACCCCTTAGTTCAATCCCTGTGGTTCCAAGGTGCCCCCCCCCCCCAGAAAAGGTGGCTGCATTTTATCATTTGTTATTGATTCAGACTTACTTGAATCCCTGGTCTGCATTTCAGATCGTCATTACCTCATCAGAATTAAAATAGTAAAGGGTGCCATAAGGCAAAGGTTATTGTTCTTTTCTTTAGCGTCTTCAGCAGTATCTCAAATAGAAACAAAACATTCATCAAACTTTTAAAAATATGTAACGTAATGGGAACTTCAGGCCAGAGGCGCCTGCCTTATCCCTAGCTGGGTTGGGTGCTGCGGCTGGTTTCTTGCTGCAGTTGGCTGCTAAGCACAGACGTGTGTAGCCCACAGAAAGCAAACAGAACGGCTCTGCCTCCCTCCTGGAGAGCCGTGAGCTCAAGAATCACCCACAGGGCCTGATCTGGAGCTCCTCACTTGCTCAGCTTCAAAAGGGCAAATGCCCTCTTCCTGGAAACACCAGAAGTGTGACAGAGGAGGAAAGATGCCTTTAGGTGACCCCTTCTCTTCAGGCAGGTCACAAATTGGGGATGTCCCAGGGTTCCAGCAGGGAATTCAGTGGGTCCCTACATGTCTCTTGTGTGGCTTCCTGGGTAGCGGCTGTATGCATGGCACTCAGAGACATGGGGACTTCAGTTTGACTCCTGTTAGAGCTACTTCTGTGCTCTCCCCAGCATCAAGGGAGTCGAATGAGCCAAAGAACCTAGAAGGTGCCACCATGAATGGAAGTGGTGCCACACTGGGTTTTGCTTTAGGAAGGAAATCTTCGAGAAGCCCCAGGGAGCTCCATGAGAACTGTGGAGACGCGGGCTGGGAGGAAGCAAGAGACTGCTGGCTGGCCCCATTTGGCCAGTCCTTGGCTCCGTTCATATCTGAGTGTCTATTTAGAGTGTCTTTTTACTGTAAACTGTGGTTCCAAGGTGCCAATACAGCAGCAGACTCCAGATGGAATACTCTGTAGTGTCATCCACGTTATACTAGATTATTACCAGTTTTTAAAATCCCAGCACTAAAGACTTGGTATATACCAAACAGTATTCTAAGGACTTCGCATATATTGTTTAAGTCTTTTTATAACCCTGTGAGGAAGGTACCATTTTCCATTTTACAAATAAGAGAACTAAGAGGGGCTAAATGACCTGCCCAGGCACACTAAACGGTGAATGGTATTGGTGGAATTCAAACAGTCTGGTATCGAAATCCATGCTGTCACCTTTAGGTTCAGCTACTTATCCAAGGATATGTGCATGTAGATCATTTTTTGTGTTTTTGTACATGCAGAAGCCCAGGATTCTTCAGAGAGGTCATAGGGACTATAGGAAAGGAGGGGGCATGGGACATGCAGATAGACTCTGCTTTGAACCACCACCTTGCATATATCAGCACTGTTACTGTTGGACATAGTGGTGGGCGAGGTTCCCGAGATCATTGACAGGGTTCCACCCCTGGGATTGCAGATGAGCCCTAGAGAAAGAAAGTGGCTTCCCAAGGCAGCCCTGTGGGTTAGTTACGGATTCAAGACCTAACCGACAGACCGTCAGTGTGTTTTCCTTCTGTCGAGACCAACGAAGTGTGTTTGGATTCTCATATTCTAGTAAAGTTACCATGGCTGCTTTTAAAAACCTGGGGTTCTGATCATCGGTAATTTGAGAATAAAGAGCTCCTTGGGACTCAGGCTCACCTACGTGCTGTGTGGACTGACCGCAGTGGATTCCAGATTGCTGCTGATGGGAGATGTTCCTTTTGCCATTGGGCCTGGCTGTGGGAAAAGAGAAGTGCCACAGGACTCTGCAGGGTGTCAGGATGCCCCAGGCATTGCCAGAGGGGACAAGAGCTAGTGATCTCTGAGCAGCAGCTATGTATGGGAGCACTGTGGTCTGATCCTTGGTTCCTTGGTTCCTAGCCACTCTTCTAGAAGGCTGGCCTTTATTTTGGGCAGGACTCCAGCCTGAGGAGATTTATGGCTTTGTGGCCACCTTTCTCAGATTGTTATGTGATAAGTCGCCATATTGGCCTATGAGATTGAACTTTGGGAAGAAAATACCTAGTTCTGATCAAATTAGGGATAGCCCATTCTTCATTAGGAACTTAGCTGCTGGCAGGGCTTGAAGGCAGGGAGTGTTGGGGATGAGACAGGGGAGTGTGGGATAAGAAAATCAAGGAGAATGCTTCACTCAGGAACAGACACTCAACTCTAGACCTTGAAGGCTGTTCCTCAGAACGCCTGAGTGGGGCGGGCGGGTCCATGCCCCTCTGGTCTGTTCATGGCCCGCAGGAGGGCAGGTGCTGGACAGAACAAGGCTGCTGCCTGCTTTCTGCGATGCTCGGGCCGTGGGAACGCTCTGCCGGGCCGGTGTGCGCTGGGGCCTTTGCTCTCCTTCAGGAGACCTTGTGCTCCAGCTCTCTGGTGGACAGAGGGGGAGGAGGAAGTGGGGCTTGGGGAAGAGCCCCGTGAAGCCGCTTCCTGCCTGTGCACCCCATTCCTCCTAGGACCTGTCGTCATCCACACTGTGGAGGCAGGCTCGGAAGTGTTGTACCCCAACTACCAAAGCTGCCAGAACCTGAGGACGAGGGTCAGGTAACTGCCCGGTGGAGGGCGCCCCTCCCCACCTTGGCTGGCAGACCCTGCCTGCCCTGAGGCTTTGCCCAGACCCACCCTCGTGGCTGCCTCCTGCTGCCACTGCCCAGGGAGTGCAGGAGCTCTTGCTCACAGCCGCAGGCTCGCAGCGGAGGGGCAGGGAGTCTGGAGGTGCTGTACAGTCGTGAACGGGCCTTTTCCCCATTCAGACTTTACACTCGGTCCCTGGAGTAGGTGGATAAGGTAGTGAGTGAGCCAGTCATCAGCCTGCGAGTCCAGGTGTGCTGGCCCAAGAAGACAGACTGCCCGCCCCCCGTCCCTGCTGGTGTGCTGCCACGCAGGTCCCTTGGTTAGGGCGGATGACCCTTTTAGTCCTCAGCCATTCTGAGCTGCACCAAGGCGATATGAGATGTGTTCATAGAAGAGAAAGTGCTGTCTCCAGACAGACCTGGGCTGTGCATGGTGGTGGGCACGACAGGAATCTAGAGTAGGACTTGGAAAGTTTGACATGAATTTTACTCCTGATCCTTGCTAACATTTATAAATCACTTGACTTCGTGGAATCTTAATTTCCTCATCCGTAAAATGGGAATAATGCAGCTAGCTCCACTGGGTATTTGTGAGGATTGAAGGAGACCTCAAAAGGTTGAGCAACGCATTTAGTAAACTGTTGATTGCTATACAACATAAAGATGATTTAAAGAATATTTTAAAAATTGCTTTGGCAGAGGCCGGAAGGAGGCTGCTACTTCGCAGCCACAGATCTCAGAGGATTTGAAAGAGGTGAAGGAAGGGATGGGCCTCGACAGTAGCATCGAAGTGGACTTCTTCATTCTCTTAGACAATATGGCTGCTGAACAGGTGGGATGACACTTTTCCCTGAACCTTGGGGTTTGGTGACCATGGGGCAGGCACTTGGATGAACAGGCTCCTGACTTGTAACTAGGTGGGGAGAAGTGGATGGAGGCCCTCTGGTGTGCAGGCCGCTATGATGAGGCTTACGGGTGGAGTGGATATGGGGGCTGAGGGAGCAATGAGGAGGGGACGGGAAATAGTCATGGACGCCTCACCCAGGTAGGAGTGCAGACATCCTGCTCTAAATCAGTCAGGAGTGCAGACATCCTGCTCTAGATCAGTCAGGAATATAGACATCCAGCTCTAGATCAGTCCGAGATATAGACATCCAATCCTAGATCAGCCAGGAGTGCAGACATCCTGCTCTAGATCAGTCAGGGGTACAGACATCCTGCTCTAGATCAGTCAGGAGTGCAGACATCCTGCTCTAGATCAGTCAGGAGTGCAGACATCCTGCTCTAGATCAGTCAGGAGTGCAGACATCCTGCTCTAGATCAGCCAGGAGTGCAGACATCCTGCTCTAGATCAGTCAGGGGTACAGACATCCTGCTCTAGATCAGCCAGGAATATAGACATCCAATCCTAGATCAGCCAGGAGTGCAGACATCCTGCTCTAGATCAGTCAGGGGTACAGACATCCTGCTCTAGATCAGTCAGGAGTGCAGACATCCTGCTCTAGATCAGTCAGGAGTGCAGACATCCTGCTGTAGATCAGTCAGGAATATAGACATCCAGCTCTAGATCAGCCAGGAGTGCAGACATCCAGCTCTAGATCAGTCAGGAGTACAGACATCCAACCCTAGATCAGTTAGGAGTATAGACATCCAGCTCTAGATCAGTTAGGAGTACAGACATCCAGCTCTAGATCAGTTAGGAGTGCAGACATCCTGCTCTAGATCAGCCAGGAGTACGGACATCCAACCCTAGATCAGTCAGGGGTACAGACATCCAACCCTAGATCAGTTAGGAGTACAGACATCCAGCTCTAGATCAGTCAGGAATATAGACATCCAGCTCTAGATTAGTCAGGGGTATAGACATCCGACTCTAGGTCAGTTAGGAGTACAGACATCCAGCTCTAGATCAGTCAGGAGTATGGACGTCCAGCTCTTGATCAGTCAGGAGTATGGACGTCCAGCCCCAGATTAGTCAGGAGTACGGAGTCCAACCCTAGATCAGTCAGGAGTACGGACATCCAGCTCTAGATCAGCCAGGAGTACGACATCCAGCTCTAGATCAGTCAGGACTACGACATCCAGCTCTAGAGCAGTCAGGAATATGGACATCCTGCTCTAGATCTTCAGGAATGTAGACATACAGCTTTAGATCAGTTTTTTAAAACTTGTTTAGAATACCTGGTGTGTGTGTGTGTGTGTGTGTGTGTTTGGGAGAGTAGGGGTCGAGTGGGTGATGAGTAGGGGGGATTCTGGGTAGGGAGGGTTGCTCACTTTTTTTTAATAACACATCTATTTTATTTATTTATTTTTATGTGGGGTTGAAGATTGAACCCACAGCCCTGCACATGCTAGATGCACACTCCACCGCTGAGCCACAACCCCAGCCCAGGGTGCTCAATTTTTTACATGTGAATTTTACATTCATTCAGTATCTTGTAGGATCTAAAACTTTTGGGTCCTTATGTGTTCTACCTTTTTTGAAGAGTATATGCGTATCATCATATTAACAGTCTGAGAAGCCCGTAGTAAAGAACTCGGGGCTGGAGCTAGCGCCCCTTTGGTAGGGTGCTTGCCTCTCATGCACAAGGCCCTGCTGCCCTGGGTTCAGTCCCCAGCACCACACACACACACACAAGAACTCTGGTTGATCTTTTGTTTTTCAGGATGGGGGGGATTACCGGGGGTTGAACTGAGGGACACTTGAACTCTGAGCCACATCCCAGCCCTATTTTCTATAGTTTATTTAGAAACACGGTCTCACTGAGTTGCTTAGTGCCTCCCATTGCTGAGGCTGCCTTTGAACTCACGATCCTCCTGTCTCAGCCTCCTGAGCCGCTGGGATTATAGGAGTGCGCCACTGCGGCCCGGCCTCCACTTAATCTTTTATTCCCCCACCCCCAGTTAATCTTTAAGTCTGTTTTCCTCAAACTAATCTAGCTATAGGATCTCTTTTGTGTAATGAATACATAAAGAAGATCACACATGGGAAATATCTCTATAGATTCAGAAGTTGGACACTGTGGCAGCGTCGGAGCCTCCTTCCTTCTCTTGTGAAAATGACCTCATGCCGCAGAGGCACAAACGCACCTGTGCTTAGGTGCAGTGGTCTGAGGTCATAGGCGAGAGCTCACGTAGAGCATTTGTATGGCATATCTTTAGAAAGCATTTTAGGGAAAATGAAAGTCAAGTGGAAATTTGTGAATCCCTTGCCTTGGTGTTTTATTCTTTTTTTAATTTAAATAAAATTAAAAAAAAATGTGGAGTGGATGGGAGCCATCAGAAATGGAGGAAAACGTTTTCGATTCTGGCTCTTTAGCCCTCCAGGAGTGCATGGCTTTGGAAGGACCTGGGGGCATGGCTTTTTGAGCTATTTAGCCCCTTCCCAGAAGACGGGTCCTTGCAGCCTTGGTGGGAGCCGAGCAGCTGCCAGGTTGGGGGCAGAAGCTGTGATCTGAAATCCTGCCTGTGGTCCTTTCAGGCACACAGCCTCTCGAGCTGCCCCACACTGCAGAGATTCGCCCAGGTGGTTGAGCAGAGGGCCGTGGACACGGCCTTGTACGTCCTACAGCGGGAAGACAGGTGAGTGGCCTCTGCAGCTGCTGGCGAGAGTCACGCTTGGTCAGACCTCCGAGTGTGTGGGAAGGAGGCCCTTCAGGCCTGCTCACACCGTCTGCTGGCATCACCGTGGCCTGAGAGACAGAGCCCCTGCTCTGCGGCCTTCCCAGGTCTTTACGCTTCTGATCCGGGCTGGTGACCTGGTGCCTCCACCCTGTGTTACAAAGAATATAGAGCACCACATGTGAGTGTCTCAGCCACTCTCTTTTCCCTTGTGTTCTAAGGTTCAACTTTCTTCATCATGTTACAGTTTACACATGAGTGTCATCTCCTCACCGTCAGGTGGGTGAGAAGCTGGGGCTGAGGGTCGGCAGTCCTGCCTGAGCTGAGCTAGTGCGTGCCAGAGCCAGGACTCGGACCGGCCCTCTGACGGACAGGCCTGTGTTTGCTCTTTCTCTTCCTGCTAGTGGGGATGCTGTTGGTGGAAGGCCTGCTTCTCGACCACCAAAAGGAAAGGCTTCCCTCTTACAAATGTCAGAAGCCTCTTTTTTCTGTTGGAATAAGAGCATTCGGCTTATCCTCAGAATAAGTGGCTTAATGGAGGAGTGGGCAGTAGAGGAGGGTCCTGAGGACGATGGGGCAGCTGACATTCCAAGGGTTTGCCCAGTGTGCGGCCTCAGAGGCCTTGACTGCACTGACTTTTTAAAAAACAAAAATCTTATGTGGTATTTCTTGTTTTACATGACTGTAGAGTACATTTTGATATATTTATACAAACATGGAGTGTAACTCATTCTAATTAAGATTGCATTCTTGTGGGATATATCTACAACACAATATCACTCACCATAGAGCAGAAGGACTTTATGACGTTTGCCAGTGGATAGATCTTGAGACTGTCACGCTAAGTGAAACAAGCCAACCCTCAAAACCCAAAGGTCGAGTGTTCTCTATGATGTGAAGATGCTGCCTGCGTTGACCCTGAGTCACACGTCCACTTGTGCGCCAGCCAAGTCACTCACTGTGCCGCCCCTCCCTGGAACTTGCCAGCTTCCTCTTTGTTCATGAAATGATGCTGCTACCTCAAACTGTCACTCACTGTCCTCCCTGTCCCCAGTTCACACATCTGCATGTTTAATAAATGTGCTGTTTCACAGCCCAGCCGTTTCTGTTACAATGCCCATCTCCACCCTTACAGCGGGAAGCAGCTGTGGTAACATGTAACAGAAGGGGCACAGTTAGGTTCCAGTAGACTTTTTTTTAATATTTTTTCTAGTAGATGGACACACTGCTTTTATTTTATTTTTATGTGGTGCTGAGGTTGGAACCCAGTGCCTCACACGTGCCAGGCAAGCGCTCTACCACTGAGCCCCAGCCCGGCCCCTAGTAGACTTTATTAACAAAACAGCAGGCAGGTCTGATCGGGCTGAACCATAGTTGGTTTCTCCTTGTCCATTGTCTTTTCCGTTCCCTTAGCCCTGGTTTCAAAACTGATGTCTCTTCAAGGACACATGGTCACAACTTCCAATCCAGCTTGGCTTGGCCTGCACACGTTCTCCTGGAGGGTGCATGTCACACACAGTGCTGGTCACCTCTCTTCGTCTGTCGCTCCGTCGTCTCTTGAGTTGTGCAGTTGGCAGTTCACCCAGTCTCCATGAGCAGGGATCGGTCCTGGGCCTCCCTGGTCCCTTCCGGCAGTGACTGGGTTCTGGGAGTTGGCGGGAGGAGGTGGTGGTGTTTTCTCCTTGATAAAAACAGAGAGGCACACAGCGCTTGCCAGGCCCTCCTCCTGCTGTGCTCACAGCTGGGAGAGGATGTGGTGTGCCTGTCAGTAGCTGCCTGAGGACTGTGAGGTAGTAAGCCAGAGGATGAAGACGGTGGAGCTGCAGAGCCCGCCCTGGGACTAAGTCAGTTACATTGACATGAATAAGAAGTGTCCCTATGGCCTAAAGCACAACAGGGACACACTTGGGAGGTTGCTCCCTCGCACCGACTCCTGCAGGCCCTTTGGAAGGCCTGGAAGTGCTCACCCTGTCCTTCTCCGCGTTGCTCTTCTGCTCTTCACGGCCTCCTCCTCCATGGTGGACCCCGTCTCCACTGCGCTCCCCAGCCCTGCCGTCTCAGCTGTGTTCCTAGCCGCTCTGCACCCGAGCTCTAGTTGTGGGAGTCTGTCCACCAGGGCCCGGCTGCATGTGGCGCCACTTGTCCTTGCTGCCCTGGCTGTCCCTCCTGCTCTGCTTGCCTTCTTCTTGGCCCGTCCAGTTGGGCTCCTGAGGCCCTACAGGGCAGGACCGGCCTGCGTCCCCTGAGTGCTGATTGGGTGCCGGGTGTCTGACTGGCTTTTGCTCTTCCTAGGGAAAGCCTTCAGATGGCAGTGGGCCCATTCCTGCACATCCTGGAGAGCAGCCTGCTGACCGCTGTGGACCCCGCCACTCCGCCCAGCGAGAGGAGGTACTAGCACAGCAGCTCCACTCTGCCCGAGAGCGGCCAGCCCCAGGCTGTCCGCAGCTGTGAGACGCTTACACCACACTGATCTGGAGTTTTATTTTATTTGTTTATTTTTAGTTACAGATGGACCCAACACCTTTATTTAATTTATTTATTTCTATGTGGTGCTGAGGATCAGACCCAGGGCCTCACACACCCTAGGCCAGCGCTCTTCCACCTAGCTACAACCCTGGCCCCAATGTGGTATTTTAATAGTTTAAAATATAATTGTGTAATAGATGTAGTTTGAATGGCTAAGAAGGAGTGATATCCACAGGCATTTTAGAAAGTTGGAAATGACCCATGAGCTTCCACTTTTGCAGGGCCTGGCACCCAGGTCAGGACCACAGGTCTGGGGTGCTGTGTGTCCTAGGCGTCTGCCGATCAAAGTGTGATCGGCAGACAGAGCTTCCTCATCACCCAGGAGCTTGTCAGGTATTCAGGCCCGACCTGCTGAGCAGAATCTACATTTCAACAAGATCCCTAACTCTGTGCACCTTGGCTCTGGAGGAGCATGTGACAGGATCCTCTTGAACGTGATCCCTAACTCTGCACCTTGGCTTTGGAGGAGCATGTGACGGGATCCTCTTGAACGTGATCCCTAACTCTGTGCACCTTGGCTCTGGAGGAGCATGTGACAGGATCCTCTTGAACATGATCCCTAACTCTGTGCACCTTGGCTCTGGAGGAGCATGTGACAGGCTCCTCTTGAACGTGATCCCTAACTCTGTGCACCTTGGCTTTGGAGGAGCATGTGACGGGATCCTCTTGAACGTGATCCCTAACTCTGTGCACCTTGGCTCTGGAGGAGCATGTGACAGGATCCACTTGAACGTGATCCCTAAGTCTGTGTGCACCTTGGCTCTGGAGGAGCATGTGACAGGCTCCTCTTGAACGTGATCCCTAACTCTGTGCACCTTGGCTCTGGAGGAGCATGTGACAGGCTCCTCTTGAACGTGATCCCTAAGTCTGTGCACCTTGGCTCTGGAGGAGCATGTGACAGGCTCCTCTTGAACGTGATCTCTAACTCTCTGCACCTGGGCTCTGGAGGAGCATGTGACAGGCTCCTCTTGAACGTGATCTCTAACTCTCTGCACCTGGGCTCTGGAGGAGCATGTGACAGGATCCACTTGAACGTGATCCCTAACTCTGTGCACCTTGGCTCTGGAGGAGCATGTGGCAGGCTCCTCTTGAACGTGATCCCTAAGTCTGTGCACCTTGGCTCTGGAGGAGCATGTGACAGGATCCTCTTGAACGTGATCCCTAACTCTGTGCACCTTGGCTCTGGAGGAGCATGTGGCAGGCTCCTCTTGAATGTGATCCCTAAGTCTGTGCACCTTGGCTCTGGAGGAGCATGTGGCAGGCTCCCTTGAACAAGATGCCCTAACTCTGAGCTGCTTGATGCTCTCTCCTTGTGTCTATAGAACACTACAGGATCTAGTGCTAGGCTTCTGCGTTGGGGTCAATAAACAAGATCCCCAACCCACCCCAGGAGATGACACTGGCATCAGCCAGAAGCAGGTGAAATGGCCACTGGGCGACTACGATGAGATGCACTCGGTTCCCTGAACCTGCAGGCTTTCCCAACAAGGAGCAGAGGCTCTCACTGACTCGTCGCGTGGCGAGAGCCGGAAGACCCTCCTCCAGGCCTGGCAGGATCCCACGAGGGGTCTAGACCACACCAGCTCAATGTCTGCCTTAAGACTCACCAGGAGAACTGGTGAATGGGTGGAGGAGGCCAGGAGAGTGATCCCAGTGGGACCTCCCTGGTGACAAGGGGAGTGGACTGTGGGTTCTCCTCTCCTGTTTCAGTTCAGCTGAGCTAGATGTCACCTGGTTTCTGAGGCCAGTGTGTTCCTTACTCCAGGGAGACGGGCAGCAGTTAAAGTCCTTGGTATTTCCGTAGTCCAAACCAGAGGTATTGGCCTGCTAGATTCCGTTTGAATAGCTTCACTCCACAAACAGAGATGTGATGTCCATAAGGTCTTTAAATGTTGGGAATGGCTCACGAGCTTCCGTAGCCACTTTTAGAGAACCTGGACCCCTAGGCCTCCCGAGTTCTGCAGTAGACCATTACAGGGAACTGTTTCCTTCTTTCAGAAAGCTATACCTCTATGCAACTCATGATGTGACCCTCATCCCTCTCTTAATGACCCTGGGGATTTTTGACCACAAGTGGCCCCCATTTGCTGTCGACCTGACCGTGGAACTCTACCAGCACCAGCAATCCCAGGAGTGGTTTGTGCAGCTCTATTACAACGGGGAGGTAAGACCTCGCAGCTGGGACTGAGTGGTGGCCGGGCTCTCCCCAGTGGCCCCGGCTGGGTCAGCACCAGGCCCCGTGGAGTCTCCATGGGTGCCCTCAGCTCTCTGCACCCCGTGGGCGACTCACAGCTGTGCCCAGGCTAGAGCAAATCTTGGCCTGTGGTGGCTGAGGGGACGTGGTCCTGATCCTGGTCTGCAGACTCGTTCCAGGAACAGAGCCCCTCCTGCCCTTCTCCCGAGAGACTGTCGGGATGCAGCCTCCTGACGGGGGCCTCTTGGACATGCACAGCCGGGTCTTGGGAGGTAGCGGGCACTGCCAGCACCCTTGACTTGCTGACGGCCTGTCACATCGATGCTGAGAAGAGGGACCAGAGCTCTCCCAGGGAGGAGACCTTTAGCTTCTGCAGCTCAGTGATGTCACTTGACTGTGTCCCCTCAGCTCAACGACCTTTCTTGAGTGGCCTTTGTAAGCGGGCTGCAGTGGTGTGTTCTGGCTGTGACTGGTATGGGGCCTTCTTGGTGTCATGTGTGTGCGTGCCGCTTGGGCCAGAGCCTCTCAGACTGCGGGGCTCCCCGAAGGCAGAGACGGGCCTGGCCCTGTGGGCTGCTGAGCCACGTCTCTTCAACAGGAGCAGGTGCCGAGAGGTTGCCCCGACAGACTCTGCCCGCTGGACCAGTTCTTGAACGCCATGTCAGCCTACACCTTAAGCCCAGAAAAATATCACGCCCTCTGCTCCCAAGCACAGGCTGTGGGAAGTGAGGAGTGACCGACCTACCCAGACCAGCTGATGTCTCAATAAAATGTCCTCATAGCTCGCCTGCACTTTGTTTCCTCCCCCAGCTCTGGTAAGGCCTTTCTGAAAGAGAGAAGGGCATGATGTGGAGACCAAAGGGTTTCTCTGATTTGTGGCTTCGTTTCTAAGCATGTGCTTGTGACCCAGGCCAGACATAATGACCTGCAGAAATGGGTTGATTTGGGACCTTGGTTCTGTTCTTCTCCTTGTCCTGCTCCCCCTTCAAACTCCTGTCCTCCCACACCTCTCCTCTTCGCCACCCACCCAGGGGCCGGCCAGGAGTGCATCCCCGCTTCCTGCCCCCCGTGTCCCTGAGTCTGTCAGGTCGGTCAGGACTACCTCCACCTCAGGGCCTCGCACAGCTCCTCCCCCTCCACCTGCAGGACCCCCCCCCCGCCCCGCCGGTGGGTGGTGTGTCTCTGTTTCCCTGGGACAGCCCCACAGTCAGGAAGACTGCCCACCCAGCCCACCTCCACGTCACGCCTGCCTGGGCCCTCCGCAGGGTCGGCCCCAGCACCCCTCCTGTAACCACCACCCTTCTCATTGTCGTTTTCTCTTCTTACCCCTTGCTCCCATTAGCTGCAGGTATGCCGTGGAAACCCCGACTGGTTTTTCTCCACATCTTTGGACTCTCCGTTTTTCCTTGAACTAGCTATGATCAGACCCTTTCCCTCAGCTCTGCATGGAAACAGGCGTGTCCACCAGCATGGACCTCGGTGGATGATCCCGCAGCCCATTCTCAGTTTCCTTCTCATCGGCATTCTTGGAATGTCTTCTTCACTTGGCTTTGGTGGAAGATACCAAACTGGTTTTCCTCCAGTTTCTCAACTTCTCTATTTTTGGTGAATCTATACTTGTCTAATACCCTGAGTGTTGGGGGGTTCCTGGATTTCTGGACTTTTTCTACCTTTTCTCCTATACTGACCCTCTGGGTGATCTCAAGTGCCTCCATAGTTTTTCAATATTGTGCTTAGGGCCTCACGAAGTTGCTGGGGCTGGCTTTGAACTGGTGGTCCTCCTGCCTCAGCCTCCCTCGCTGCCGGGATCACAGGTGTGCACCGCCATGCCTGTGTTTCTAGGCCCTTCCCCTGAATTCCAGTCTCGTTTCTGATTGTCTACTCAGCATCTGTGTTTCGATATTTAAGATATTAATATGCACCAAACTTCCCATTGCCCACAGTAAGCTCTCGGTTCTCAGCCCTTCGCAAACCTCCTGCCCCCACAGTTTCCCTCCTTGGAATGAAGTATACACTGTTCACACAGTTGCTTAGGCCGAGAGCTTTGGGGTTACCATTGAGACCTCATCATCTAGTGTCTCAGTGAGCCCTGTTACAGTTTGGACCTAGAATGTCCCACAAAAGCTCCTGTGGTGAAGGCTTAGTCTTAGCTGGTGATGCTGTTAGAAGGTTCTGGAAACTCTAGGAGCTGGAGACTAGTTGGAGGAAGTAGGCCACTGGACGTGTGTTCTTGCAGGGTGTATCTTGTCCCTGCCTTGCTCTGGCCTTCCTGAGGTGGACAGCTCTGTTGTGCCGTGTGCTGCCTGCCGTGATGTTCTGCCTCACCACAGGCTCACAGTGATGGGACCAAGTGACCATGAAGTGAAAACTCTGAAATCATGAGCCAGAATCAGTCTTTCCTCTAAGGAGTTTTCTTGGGTATTTTGTCACAGCAGCAGAAAGCTGACCAAAAGCCTCCTGTCATTTCTCTTCAAACTAGATCCAAAATTGACTACTTCTTAAGATCTCCATTGTGGTGTCTTCGTCCCACTTCCTAAGAGGTCCCCTTGTTTCTGCCCTCGTTCCCTCCCCAGCGTATTCTCCACAGGGTATTGCTTTAGAACAAAGCCTGCCGTGCCATCTTGTCACCATTCTCACTGGCCTCCCGTGGCAAAGTGAGGCCAGCCGTCACAGGGCGCCCCCGGCCTGGGATCGCCTTTGCACTCTAGCCATCCTGACCTTCTTACTGATTCTTCTGAGAAACTCGTCTTAATAGAAACTTTTAATTTACTATTGATTATATATATTTTACCATAGTTAATGTCTCTGTCTGCATTATGGAATGATTAGGTAAAGGTAATCGACATATCCATTACGTCATCCACTCTTGATTTCTGTGGTGAGAACTCTACTCCTTTGGAGGTGTAGTTTCCATGGTTTGATTTCCTTTCCAAACCTAGTCCCCAGCGTAGCAGCACTGGGGAGCAAGCCTGGTGACAGGGGCTCAGGCTCAGTGCACTGTAAGAAGGCTGCACAGGAGCCCTCTCCTACTCCTCTGCCCCTTCTCTGGGGGTGGCACAGCAGGGCACAGCGTGGAGGCAGAGAGCCTGGGCCCTGACCTGCTGCCGCCTCCTTCTTGGACTGTCCATCCTCTACAACTATGGCAGAATACATTGGTTTTCTATTTAAACGACCCACAGCGTTCTGTTCTAAGAGACTGAGTCAGCAGTACATCGTTGTCACCCCATGCCATATAACAGGTCACTGAACCTGGTTCTCCTAACGCACGTCTGTACATTTGGCCAGCATCTGCCCTGACCCCACCCTCCTATCCCATCCCTTCTCACCATTCCTGAGCTGGAGTGTACCAGATGGCCCCTGAGCCAAGTGAGCCATTCCCTCTTCCCACAGGCGGTTCGCCCCTCCCAGGATGCCCCTGGACACCTGGGGCCAACTCCCACTCCTCTCTGGGCTCTCAGCTGCCCGCGGTCTCAGAGGCCCCACACTGTCCCCTGTAGCGGATCTCCGTCCCTCCCCTCCCCTCCCTCTAGCCTTAGTTAGGAAGACTCCGACCCTCCCAGCTCAGTGGGTTTCTCTGCAGATCACATCCTTGCTGGAGGTTTTGAAATGTTTGCTTTCTCATATCGTCGGAGAGCCCAGCCAGGGACATGGTTGTCAGTTTTATCACCGTGTGTGTGAGCCATATTGTGTCCTCCAAAGAGGACATTACCACCTTTAGAGGCATAGTTTTTACCTTGATGCAGAATTTCACCACCTTGTGTTATGGGCTGCATTGTGTCCTCCAAAATTTTGTGGTGATATCCTAACCCTTAATACTTCAGATGTATTAAAGAAGTAATCGGGGTAATTGAGGCCACAGGGGTGGGCCCGACTCCAACAAGAGCCTTGTCCCTATAAGAAGAGGAGATTAGGGCACAGGCCCAGGGAAGACCATGGGAAGACCCTGGAAGGACGAGACCTCTACAGGCCGAGGCCACCTGCCCACACCTGATCTTGGACTTCCAGCGCCACCAGGAGGAAGTAAGCTTTGTTGTTCTAGCTTCCGCCCTGTCCTGCTCTGCCGTGCCCTTGGAAACTGGGCCTCACCCTGACTTTTTCCCTCAGGATATCTGGGCACTTATTGGTGTAGTTCCCTGCCCAGGGTAAGTTCCAAGAAGGCAGACTGTCTCATTCCTCGCCGGTCCCCAGCACTAGAAGAGAGCCTAACATAGGGTAGTGCCCAAACCTGTGAACACTCGAGGGACATGCCCCTGTCACTCCTCTCTCGTGCCCACCCTCCTCGTTTACTGTGGTGGTTTCCTGATGGCCATGCCCTCTCGCCTTCCACCGCCCTCCGTCTCTGGGCTTGCTCACCTCTCGGGTCTGACCGTGGAGACATGTCATCTTTGCCTTGTTCAGCCCTGCTTAACTCCAGGCCTCCTGTGTTTCCGTCTCGTCTGTCAATGTAAGTCTGCAGCCTGTTACGGGATGGTACAAAGTAGACCTCAGCCCAGCTGCCCCCAGCACCAGGAAGACTCCGTTCGCCTGCACACTTCCCCGTCCACCACCAGGGGGAGGCCTGGGGCAGAGGAGTCACCAAGGCTTCTCGGGGTCGAGTTCTGATCTGAGTCTGTTTTTCTCTGTGACCCTGTTTCCTGTCATGTAAAATGGGGGCAGTTATACGTGATGACTAGGTGCTTGTGAGGGTTCATTTTAAACACTCGGGGCCTTCAGGTGTTCTTTCTTTCCCTTTTTCTACTCCTCTCTCTTCTGATTGGTCTTCACTGTGAGTCTTCCTCAATGGAAGGAAGCCTTTAGGTGCCCGCTCCACCCCGCCCTCTTCAGGTGGCCTTCTTTCTGCTGCCCTCCTGGGCAGAGTGCCTGTGGGTCCAGGGATTGCAGTCGGAACGCGACTCCCTCACCAGTTGTGTGGCTGGGGGCCAGTCACTTACACTGTGAGCCTGCTTTCCCAATCACAGAGCAGGAGCTCA